TCTCTAAAAATATAGGCCCATATTTGGGGCACTAAAGTCAGACCTGCACTAGCTCCGTATCCCAGCAACAGGGACTTATATTGGAGTAGGCCCGCTATGTCGCATAGTCCTAAAGTGCAGGCAAGAATCGCCCTTCGGCCCGTAACCGCTGGAGTTGGGTAGAGTGGAATAACTGCAATGGAAAATCAACCAAGCTACAAAGGTGAGAAAGAACCAAGTTTGAAGACATTTAATTCATTAAGCACAGTTTTGTCTGGCATCTGGTAAGGGAGCAATATGGTCCTTATGTGTCAGAATCCTGCTGCCCCAGCTGCGAAAGGCAACAACGGTGCATTTCCTGCTCAGGACGTCAGGGTCATACCAGCCACTCTAAAAATGTAATTGGCGCCTGTTCCTCCCTGCATCTTCAATGCCACGTGTGCCTGGTTTATGAACGGAAAGCTGCAACCCTGCAGAGCCAGTACAGCTTTGGGAGACCGGGCTGGAGTCTTCGTGGTCTCCTTTCCATGCACACGTGACTCCTGAGTTACATGCTCGCCTGGAGAACAGAGCAGGAAGCCCCAGTTCTAGGGTCCCGAGTGCAAGTCCCCATCTGAGGCTGGAAAAATCACAGCTTGATTTTCAGCAGCTCACCTGAGCTCGGAGTCATTCATGGATTCTCCGCCCCTGGACCGACGCAGCTGGGATTGGGGTTTACTGAGAGCGTTGTCCTCAGTGGTGTGAGCACGCTGCTGGTCAGTGCTACGCTAGGCAATGCACTGAGATGACACCAAGGGCACTGCCCATATGGTCTGATACGCTACGTGTGGCAAACACATGACAGGACAGGGGGTTGGTGGGGAGGGGAAATGGGGTATAATAAATCGTTAATCTCCTGCAGTTACAGATCTGACTGCTGGCCTCTGCCTAGCCCAGTGCCCTCCTCTGCTGTCCGGGATCAAACCATCAGGCCATTTGGTCTGGTCTGCCACTTGCTGCAACGCTGCCTCACCTCTGCTCTCCCACTCCAGCAGGACCCTTCCAAACTTCCTCTCCCGCAGGGAATGTGGGTAGCACCCTTCTGTGCAGAGGCTTTTTATTGTGCCCTCTGACCGCAGCTGAGAGCGTCTGATGCTGAGGGCCTGGGGAGACAAAGGGAGAGGAGAACTGCTCTTTCTGGGCCTACCTAGATTGTGGATGAACTGGTCTCCAACCCCTAGGACTCCATAAGGACACCCCCTGGATTTTCCCCACACTCACTGAGTAAAGCAGTCTGATTCGATAGATGGGTGGGGCGTGGGCTTGATCCTGATGAGAGTCTGGTCCCGCTCTCACAATCAGATTTATAGCTGGGACTTGGTTCCTGTTCCTAACCCTGCTGTTGCCTTTGCCACTGGTTCGTCTCTCTGTGCCTCAGTTTCCTCCTCTGTATAAGAGGGTTGATTCCCCGAGCGGGCGGGGGGTCTGTGTTCCCCCTGAGACAGTGATTTCAAAGCCGGCTACTAGCACATGTAAGAAATGCTGGGCTCCCTGCCTTACTGGGGTTGCTGGGCTATAGTGTTAAATATTTGCAGCTACCAAGTTTTCTCTATTAATTTCTCACTCCGTCCAGGGCTGGCAAAGGGTGCGGGTGTATTTGGGCGCAGTGGGGCAGGGAGCTCCTGAAAAGGGGAGAGGCCCAAAAAGAACTGGGGTCACTGATCACGAGACAATGGAAGCGGGGCAGGGTGGGAGGTCCAGCAAAAGGATGTCAGAGTGGGAGGTGATTGGCAGGCCTGGAACCTCTGTTCAGTTCCATGGGCAGAGGAAGGGCAGGCTACACACGAAAGCTGGGGGCTGGAACGACCCACTCTACTACTGGAGGTGGGTGGGGAGAGTTAAGTCTCTATGGCCCATTCAGACCGTATCCTCTCCGCCAGCCAGGGGGAGGTTTCTGTGGCAGCGAGACCTGCCCCACTAGGACCTTGGCTGAGAGCCACCAGATCAGTGCCCAAAGCTCCCATCAGCTGATCCTGACTTTCAATCCCTGGTGCCCTGGCCTGATGACCTTGCAGTGAAACATGCTGCAACCTACTCGTTGTCTCCTGAGCCACATGCTGGCTCAGCAAAAGGGTTGTTTCTGGTGTGTGGAAGGGTCAATATTTGTTCATGTCTCAAATATTTGCTTAAACTTGGCAGTTGAGGCAGCAGGACAGGAGCCATTGGCAAGGGACAGGGGGCAGGCCCCTGTGGCGAGGTCGCACTGTTATTCCGGGCCAGGGAGCGCTGGAAGTGCTGCTGGTAGAAGTCATCTTCCCCCGGCTCCATCAGCAGGTATAGAAAGGTGGTAGATCCCACAATCACAGCTGATGCTACGGCAGCAAACCAGCGAGGAAGAGAGCTGCTGTCAGTCCGGAGAGGAAAAAGGCTCCAAGGGGACCTGGGGTGTCCAGCAAACCAGTGAGAACACGAAGCTACTGTTTGATGGGTGCAAAGTGCTAAACTACCGTAGAGCTGGCCCTGGCTAAGCCAGTCCCCCTGGAACGGGGCGCTCTGGGGAAATGAAGCAGAAGCAGCCTGGGAGGGGTCACTGTGCCTCACTCCCTGCCCAGATGTGATTGCAGACAGATACTTGGCCCGGGGGCGTGAGTCAGGCCAGCACCTCTGGAGACCACCACCGCTCCTTCTGCCAGCAGGTCAGAGTGACCCGAGCAGGGGCTGCTCAGATCCAGCGCTAACCCTCAGGCAGGCAAATTTGCACAGCAGCTGCGTAAGAGAGCCTGGGCCATTGTTCAAGATTAACTGCAGGAGAGCTCCTCCCAGGACTGGCCTCTGGAAGGACTATTTCCTGTGCTCAACCCTTCCCTGAACAGCCAGGAACTGAAGGCACCAGCCCGGAGGCCGTTCAGAGCCGCTCCGAATTGTGGCTGATGGTGCAGCCATAACCCCAAGCACCACAGGGCTGTGCAGTGCCCTGGGAGTCCTGTCGTTCCCAGGGGCCCAAGGGGTTTGTGATGCCCCGACTCTGGCAGGCGATTACACCACACTGAGCAGCCTATTGCTTCAAGCGATTTAGAGCAGCCACTGGCCACTACGAAAGGCCCATTGCCTGTGTGTGTTGCTGACAAAGTGGGGGGTCTCAGGCCCAGCAAGGAACAGGAGGTTGTTAAACTCCTTGGGGAGCCCACACACCTCTCGTCAGCCCAGCAAGCCCCTCCCGCAGGGGAGGATCAAGTGAACACCAGCAGCTGAGCTGGAGCAGTGAGCAAAGGGGCGGGGACAGGGACATGCCAGCAGGAAGAGGGACTGGGGGGTCAGGGCCCTCATTCCCCCACTCCAGGAACAATGTATAAATGGAGGGTCCGGCTGGTGCAGTAGGTGCCAAAGGCAAAAAAAAAAACCCCACCCCACGCTCCTTATGCTTCAGCCATGTTCTCTTCCAGTGGAAACTGGACCAAGGGACACTCGTTACCTGCCCTGGTGGACATGACCCTGGGCATCTGCCCCCCTGGCCAGGGAAAGGTCATATGTGCCCGAGTTCCTCCATGTTCATCACATACCCCCGGTCAGAGCTGGCCCTTTGGGGCCATTAACAGCAGCTTTCACTCGGTCACCCCTGGCAAGAATGGGGTAGCAGGGGCACCCCCCCCAGCCTGGGCACCAGGTGTGTGTGTGTGTCACTTAACAGCCATTAAAGCTGCAGAAGTCCTGCACACACACACACACCCATAGCTAGAGCAGGAACTGGTGGAAACGCTGGTCCATGGCACTGCCTAACCCTGGCACCACCCTTGCATCGGTGTTCGCTATGTCACCACCGGATAGTTCAAGCTGCTAACAGCTTCCCCTCCTCGGCCTGGCTGTCATGGACGGGGATACAGTGCTGGAAACTGCTCCATGGACTAAACCCCAAAGGGGCCCCTCAGAACCCACTGCTCAGACTAACCACCCCTACCCCTGTCTATCAGGGATGGTCTAGACAGTATTTGGTCCTGCCATGAGGGCAGGGGACTGGACTCGATGACCTCTTGAGGTCCCTTCCAGTCCTAGAGTCTATGAATCTACCCCTCATTGCCCAGGGAAACAGGACCATGGTGAGCAGTTCCAACTGCAGCGTGGCCAGAGGTTTATTCTACGGCCCTGCGCCAGAGATCACAGCGATCTGCAGCCTAGAAAGAGGTCCTCAGGAAACAGACCTGAGACATTTAAAAACAAGCCCTTCAAAGTAACACGACTCCCCCTGGAAAACCGGATCCCTCCACCCTGCGCGTGCAGACGTGGCTAGCAGAGCGCCGACTCGGCCGGGTCATTGGAGCTCAATAACCGTGGCTCCTGCGGCTGGAAGTGTCCCCTTTGGACGGATGATGGTGGAGAAGTCTCTGTGCAGTCCCCTTCCCCTGGACTCTTCAGAAAAGCCACAGAGAAGTGAGTTGCCCACGGTCACAGTGAGACAGCGTCAGAGCCAGAACAGAACTCGAGTCTTGACTCCTGCCCCAGCACTGTAGCCACTAGAATACATTGCTGCTCAGAATAAAACCTGGGAGATCTCTCTCCACCAGCCCGTCTAGAACTCGGAGTCCTGATGCCCATGCCCGGCTCTGCCCCCCCGAGAGCATCTCCTCTCAGAGCTGGAACAGAACCCAGGAGTCCTGGTTCCTGGCCCCCCTTCCTCTTCCCAAGAGCTGACACTCCCACCCCAAGACCGTTACGGTGGAAGCTCAACCAAAATAAATAAGACATAAAAGCACCAGAGTAATTGGGCAGGGGGAGGAGGGGTCAAATCCAGACTCAGGACCCTACAGGAACATCTGTCCATCTCCTCGGGGAAGGGGCAAGGGAGGAAACATCGACAGCCTAAAGGCAGATTGAAAGTCAAGCGATCCCGAGGGGGCAGAAGGACAACGTCTTTCCCTCCGAAGGAAGCTTCTGTCTGCTTTCCTCCCCAAGCGAAGATTGGGGTTTCCGGGTGACACACAGCGAGGTTCCCAGGGCAATGCCGGCGGGCAGGGGAGGAGTCCGCTACAGGGGATGTCCAGTTTGATCCAGGCCTTCGCGCTTCACAGCTCATCATGGGGGATGTTCAGGGCATGGTCGCACAGATCTACGCATACAAGCACACACCGTTAGAACACGGGACTTACCAGACTGGATCAGCGCGGAGGTCCAACCAATCCAGTGTCCAGCACCAGCTGCTCCAGAGGAAGGGTAAGAACCCTGCAGGAGGCAGCTGTGGGACAATCTCCTCCTGTCCCCCCGCCCCACCCCTCGCGACTTAGAGGTTGGTTCATGCAGTGAAGCAGCAGAGCTCACATTCCTTACACAATTTGATCTTGTGGCAGTGAGTTCCACCGGCTAACTGTGCCGTGTGTAAAAAGCACTTCCTTTTCTCAGCTGGGAATTCGTACCTTTCGATCGCACTGAATGTCCCTGTATTATTTACATTATGGTAGCACCTGGAGGCCACAAAACAGGGATCAGGCCCCGTTGTGAGAGTTTTCTGCACCTGCAGACAATTGGCTTTGCCCCAGATTCCCACATGCGCCTCAGTCTGTATTATTCCAAACACCACAGACTGGCTCACAGCCGCTTTGCTGACCGCAGCATTTCTAGCATCTTTCACACCAAAGCTCTTAATCTACCTGGAGGATAATTTCAGCCTCACTAAAATGCAGCCACCTCTAGGGTGGGACGTAGCAGCTGTTCAACACGGTACAGTATCACAGTGCCTCGGTCTTGAAAGAAAAGCAGCAGTCTGTATGCGAACGAACCGGGGCGGGAAATAATTGCCTCGTTGGGCCGTGGCCAGGACACTGGGCTAACGCCCTGACATGGGGTCGACAATTTAAAACTCTCATTCATGTTCCCAGAGGCAGGTCATCCCTCCTAGAGGTGGTGAGCACAGGAGACCATGGGACTCTCAGCCATTGACTGCAGCACACAGCAGTCCAGGGGCCGGCTGGCTGTGCAGCCCAAGGACAACGCGGCTGCTCACGTGAGGACTGAAAGCTCTGGCTGCCAGCCAGGGAACGGGGACGGGGTGGCAAAGGCAGGGCCCGGGGGGGGGGGGGGGAGGAGAGGAGGAACCATTTCACTCCCCCCCACCCCGACCATTCACACTTTAGTTAGTGGCTCATGACAAACGCGGCTGTTTGAACAGAGCTGTCGAAGTCGGCCTTTGACCCAGACAGCGCAGAGACACGCAGAGCTAGCAGGTGTGCAGGTCCAGGGAGACACGAGGACGGAGGTGTAAAGCCAGGGTCCCTTTGCAACAGCTTGGACAAGAACGAACAAAGGTCAGGCGGCACCCAGGGCTGCCATCCAAAACCAACTTAGCGGGCTGGGGAAATAGCACCCAGCAATTGGCTGCTCCAATCCCGTCACTGCTCTTGGCAGCCAATGAGAATCCCCGGCGCAGATGACGTTGGGCTGGTTGTGGGACCTCAGGAACGCTCGGCACCAGCTGGAGTTTCCCCCAAAAGCTGCAGGCGGTTAGACAAGGCAGCATGAAATACAGCTTCTGACTTGCAGGCCTCGGTGGGAGCAGCGAGCCCACGGAGCCGGGACACTGCTGCAGAGCCCTCGCACCAGATCCCCAGCAGGTCTCTGGAGAGGGTTTGACACCCCCAGGGCGAGGAGAGGCCAGGGGATGGGAGGGCAAGTTACTGACAAATACGTACGACCGTGGAAGTTAGACTCAGATCCCATCAGTGGACCAGTCACAGCCTATGTAAAACGGCTGCGGGACGGAGAGTGACCCAGCGGCTGCAGGATAAGAGAGCCAGGAGCAGCGTCCGGTGGGTAGGACACTGCACTGGGAATCAGGAGACCTCCGCTCTATTCCCAGCCCTGCCGCTGACCTGCTGGGGGACCCTGGGCAAGTCAACACAACTCTGCCTCAGTTTCCTCATCTGTAAAATGGGGCTAATGGCCCCAGCTGTCCTTTGTGAAGGACTTTGAGGTCTATGCACGAAGTGCGCTGGCTAACAGCTAAGTATCATTAGTTCCTTTCTTACTTTCCTTCTGGTTTATGAATAGTTTTTTGTAATGGCTTCTCTCTAGTGCTCAATAGAGTATCTGGGGAGTTAGCCAGCACGCTACGACAGGGAGGTGGCATCCCTGTGTTATAGATGGGGAATCCGAGGCACAGAGTGGGGAAGCGACTCGACCAAGGTCTAGAGCAGAGGCAGGAATTGGACCCACGTCTCCCGAGTCCCAGCCCAGCACCTCGCCCATGTGAGCAAGCCCCACTCCGCCCCACTGCTTTCAGCAGTCAGCACAGCTCAGCGGCATGCTTCTTGTTTTGGCTGTTTAATGAGCTCACTGATTCCGAGAACCAGCATAAAATGGGAGGCTGTCCAAATTTAAAAAAACAAAAACAAAACACGCATAAGGGAGGTGCCTTAAATCGACATCTCGGGGAGGAAGAACTGGCGAAGGAAGGTGCGATTGTGGGAAAGGTGGCGCGGATGAGTCCAACACCCAGCTGCCTCCCCAGGCCTCACGGGTGGGTGACTCCACGTCTCAATGAAACTTATGGACCATGATGCAGAGGGATCACTTTCCCCATCACTGGAAGGCAGCTTCCTCTGGGCTGGAGCGCAGCAGTCAGCCTGTACCAGCGATGCTGCAGCACTGGTGCATGATGGGAAGTGGGGAATAACATTGATTGAGTACAGGGGACCAGCCGTGGTATCCTGGCTAAATTCTTCCCCGTCCCTGCGCCCTGCCAATGCTTTCGCCCTGTTCAAGGGACCATCTCGCTCCTAGAGTGGTGGCTGCTGACTGGGCTTGGCCTCCAGGCAGCCATCTAGAGGTGAACGAAAGCCTCCAGGTTCTGTTTGTTTAAAACAAACAAAAGGAAGTATTTCTGCACTCAACGCACAGTCAACCTGTGGAACTCCTTGCCAGAGGATGTTGTGAAGGCCAATATACCAGGCTTCAAAAAAGATAAGTTCGTGGAGAATAGGTCCATCACTGGCTATTAGCAAAACCATGCTCTGAAGTGTCCCTAGCCTCTGTTTGCCAGAAGCTGGGAATGGGCAACCGGGGATGGATCACTCGATGATTCCCTGCTCTGTTCATTCCCACTCATTGGCCGCTGTCGGCAGACAGGACACTGGGCTGGATACCATTGGTCTGACCCAGTGTGGCCGTTCTGATGTTCCCTGTCTGACTAGCCCCCCGCCCCAAGCAGCAGTAGAGCCTCACTTACCGGTCCGCTTGCTGCAGAGCCGATCCTTGACGTTGTCGGTCTCACGGGAGAAGAATTCAATGAGCTCATCTTCATACTCCTCGGCGATCCTCTCGCACTGCAACGGGGGTCAGAGAGTGTCAGAAAACCTGCACCCTGCCTGCCCTGGCACGTGGGTCGCACAGGGCAGCAATGACAGAGCGGAGAAACTGCGGCTGGGCCCTGCTCTACATAGCCCCAGCCCCACCTGCGCATGGCTTGCTCTGCGGTGGCAAAGCACAGTGGTCAGGCTGTGCG